ATGTCATATTGTAATACTACCAATAATTTTGTGTCAGTAGACACTCAATAATACTAAAAATCAAGTATTGATGATATAACATAATAGGTCCAACCCAGATCATAAATGATCGGTCCAAATTAGGCCCAAACTAAATATACAGGTCAAGCCTATTACAGGATCAAGGAAGTTCAGTTGGGGTAGTCTCATCATCTTGAGAGACTCAGTCCACAACTGACTCACGAGGAGATTTCTGTGGGACACAGTCATCGGGTGTACGTCGCCACCTCCACGAAACTGCATCGTCTGTTATGAGAATTGTGTCACCTTCACCAAACTAACTCACCTATTACGAGAATATAGCCTCAATCTATTAGGAAATGTCTATAAATTGTAAACTCCACATACACAAGGGAATAACACTCACATCTGAACACTCTACATTTCATATCCTAAAATCAAACTTAGCTAGAAAACCTTGTAAAAATCATAAAATTTTAGCCAGGGCAGAATTAAGACTCATAGGAAGTAGAGAGAAATTTTTATTAAATTTCTCTTGCACAAATATATAAAAAGATACGATAAAAAGAAATATATAATTGTGTCATTAAAAACTACTACAAATTTCTTTCATTTTCTGGAAGCTTTTTCTTTAGTTGTTGGCTCTTGCATTTAATAGGTGGAACTCCACTTATGTTGTACATCATCAGAAAGGTTTTTTTTTTGTTATTTTAAACTATTTTTCATACACATACTTTGAAAATTTGTAATTTCTATTTTCAAAATCTATTATATGATAGATTATGCATTTAATTTTATCAATTATTTCTAATATCATTAAGCACCCTTGTACTATTATATTTATAAGGCGAGCTATGCATCTCATATGAAAATAAGAAAACAAGATGAAGTTAAATAACACTTTAAATTAGTTACTACTCCTACATGGGTAAAAATCCGCCAATAGTTGAAATATGTCGATGTGCACTCCTAGTTTTCGAGTATCATCCAATCCATGAGCTACAAGACAAAAAAGGGATAGAGGGACCCCCAGCATTGAGCCAGAGGAGGCCCCTCCGATGCCTAAGTAAGTACTACGACCAATACTTGAACAAGCGAGTGTATAAACTAGAAAAGTAATATAGGTGTGTGTGTGTGTGTGTGTGTGTGTGAAGTATAGAGCCAAGGTACTCATACTTGAGGCCCCATATTCTTTGGGTCTTCACCCATATATATAGAAAGGATTAGAGAGCTACTTACCATATTGTACTATACAGTTGTCAATGTAGAGAGATAGGCATGGGCTAACCTACTAAAATACTCATTACCTGTCAGATATTTATTGTAGTGGATCCTACATGTGATATATGTCAATTCCTTCATTGGGAGTGGGGGTGGTGGACCCACTTGACAAAAATGTCCTTCCAATTTCCCCCTAGCTTTCATTTTCTTTTGTCGTGCTTAGAAGAAGATGGAAGCTATGTAGAATATTCATGTCTTTGTAGATAATATCCACATCCTCTTTGGCACTGTACGACTTGGGAGAGATATGTCGAGACCCACTATATGCTATCAAGCGAGCACGGAGCATGAATCCAATAAATAGATAATACATGCATAGGCCGAATATACTTGTCATTTATAATAGAATACCAAGATCAATAACCGTGAAACTCAAATACTCGACGAGCAATGAGTGATATTTCAACAGTCAGAGCAACGCGTCTGCCAGGTGTCATAATTGATATTCTCATGGTTGGACAAAAGAATATGAACATAACGGTGCTAGGCCCAGCTAATATCATACAAGAAACTATTTATGCCAAGCAATAATGAGATGCCTTGTTGAAGGGCCAAATAATAGAATCCCAAACATAATTATAAGATGTCGCTGGAGAAAGCCAAATCTTATACAAGACAACCACAATTGATTCAGACTCATCTAAAGAAACAATAATATCCAAGTCTCAAAGAAGATGATCACAATCAAATCTAAGGGATGAGTATAATTGAATTCTGAAAAGAAAGATTGTAATTGAATCCCGAGTAGGAGAATCAATCATCGGGTCATAAACGAGACAATCATTAGGTGCCTTCCAAGGAAAATATGTTCGAGGGAAATCAATAATAGATATTTTTGATCCTTTGATTAGAGACCACATAAGCTTGCCCTCCGAAGGGCAACCAAATAAGACCAAAGAAAGATCGAATAAATCTAGTCCTTGATTGACCGAATACATTGTGTCCCCACAACTTGACTGGACAATCTTGATCTCTTGGAGAAGGTCTTAGTACATGGGCTTGTTGAAGTGGGAATTAATAAAGAGACCCTAAATACATCTGTTCCTTGAGGCTGAACAATAATGAAATGCTTTATTGAGTGGCTCAAGGAATACCGAAGATAACTATTAGATGTATGCTGGAAAGATCTAAATCTTGAATGGGTAACCCTAGATGCTCCACATCCAACTCTAACGAAGATAACAATATCCGAACCCTAAGAAAGGTTACTATAATCAAATGCTACAAAAGTCAAGCATGAGCAAGCCTAAAGAGGACAATAATTGACGGTCCTCTGAAGAGGGGCGGAATAACCCTGGCCCTTGAGAAAGATCAAAATAAGTTTGTCCTTATAAATAAGGGCTGAATACACCGGGCCCTCTAAAGAGCGACAGAATAATCTTGGCTCCTCGAGAATGTCCATTAAAAAAAAGCCCTGGCATATCTGTCCCTTGGCCTCCACAACCCCGACTTTGATGATGGATTGGGCTTTGAGTCTTGCCCTTTCTTATCATGTTCAAATAACATATAACTAAAATAAATAAAAATGTACCTTGTCGAACTGAGTCTTGAATATATCAAACCCGTAGTTAGGTAATTCAAGGTTCCCTCAGTGAGATTCTTCTTGACACAGTCTTCATGCCTAACCTCCAAACATGAAAAGTTAACGCGGGGTCAAGCTTTCTCTTGTAACTGCTTTGCATTATGTCTAGGGTCTCACCTAGAGTCTCGCGTCACGTCCCTAAACCAGGAGTACTCTCGAGTCTAGGTTCTTGAACCCATCCCCAAGAGATTTTATGCCTACATTAAGACTTTTGGTGCTTTGTCCGAGCAAAGGCTTACCCGTTTCTAGGGTCCAAAGCCCATCAAGTGCCTAAACATATAAGGCTTTTGGTGTTTTGGCCATGCAAAGACTTTCCTATATTCAAGGTCTAACCCAAACTCTTATTTCACCTCCCTAAATAAGGAGTACTCCCGAGTCCAGGTTCTTGAACCCATCCCCGAGAGATTTTAGGCCTCCATTAAGACTTTTAGTGCTTTGGCCAAGCAAAGGATTACCCGTTTCTAGGGCTCGGAGCCCATCAAGTGTCTTATGCACATAAAGACTTTCCGCCCAACTGAACCCAACAACCTAGACTTGATGTCATTAAGGATCTTGAATTTATATGACGTGTTCGTGCTCGGTTCAAGGTTCTTGTCCCCCAGTGCTCACATTGGTTCCCACAAGACAAATCTGTTGTGCATTGATGAAACAAGATCAAGTGGCACCCTTATCAAGGCAACAAATGCAATAACAATAAATCCTTCTTTGAGAATTCCCTCCCCCCTATTTATTTTCGATAATGCTATACTGACCAAAATTATGGACCAAATAAAAAGCTCAAATGACATGACATCTGACTTGGAAGGTTGATTAAGCAAGATTAATATTTGATTAATATTTGGGGAAAAAAAATTTCGTCTTCCCTGCTTCCACTGTCAGATAGAGGTGGTGGTCCGCTTATTCCCTGCTTCTTTAGTATCCTTCGAATCCTCACCGGCTCCATCCCCAAAGCCTTGTACAGATGCAAAAACGCTGCAAGGCTAAAGCTCAGTGATTTTCCCTGTAGTGAAATTATCAAGTCCACCCAGGTTAATCTTGGCATTTTCTTTCTATACTTTTTACTTGTTGGAATGTCTGGGAAAAATTAATGACATGAAAAGAAAATTTATTATATATATATATATCACTTTGGATGGGATTGCAAGAAAGTACATACGAACCTCGACTAATTCATCTTTTTGTGAGGTCGTTGAAGTTTAATCACTTTTCATAGCATCCAAATATATCATTTTGCCTCCCCTATTTCATATGTAACCCTCCTTGATTGGTAGACCATGTCTTAAAGGTTATTCCTTATGGTTTGAATTGATTGTTACATCCACCAAATAAAAGTCTATATGATTAAACAGATTTTATGTCTTCTAGTGATGATGCCTAAAATTTTCTCTAGAAAGTGAATTTCGCACGCTTTGATTTACTNCCAAATATATCATTTTGCCTCCCCTATTTCATATGTAACCCTCCTTGATTGGTAGATCATGTCTTAAAGGTCATTCCTTATGGTTTGAATTGATTGTTACATCCACCAAATAAAAGTCTATATGATTAAATAGATTTTATGTCTTCTGGTGATGATGCCTGAAATTTTCTCTAGAAAGTGAATTTCGCACGCTTTGATTTACTGTATGTACTACTTGTAATTCAGTTTCTTTTGAGCTAATTAAATAAGATGCTTCAAGCCATTGCTAGCGCAATGGTACAAGTTTCGAGTTGAAGCTTTGCGAGCCTGATAGGAAGCTTACAGAATTCTTAAGAATGCATTTATGTTCTCTGCCAGACTCCACTGGTCCCTTNTTGTAATTCAGTTTCTTTTGAGCTAATTAAATAAGATGCTTCAAGCCATTGCTAGCGCAATGGTACAAGTTTCGAGTTGAAGCTTTGTGAGCCTGATAGGAAGCTTACATAATTCTTAAGAATGCATTTATGTTCTCTGTCAGACTCCACCGTCCCCTGTACCTGATGTATAGTAGTCAAATATCATCTTTGGCAACTTTTGCTTGGCAATGGTCTCATACTCACTGACATTTGATGCGCTGACAATAACTTTAAGAGTGACCAATTATATTTATTCTAGTGACAATCTATTATTTCTATGTTCTTTGATTGTCTATGTTTTGTNTGTACCTGATGTATAGTAGTCAAATATCATCTTTGGCAACTTTTGCTTGGCAATGGTCTCATACTCACTGACATTTGATGCACTGACAATAACTTTAAGAGTGACCAATTATATTTATTCTAGTGACAATCTATTATTTCTATGTTCTTTGATTATCTATGTTTTGTTCTTTATTAGATAGGAATGGAAGAAGAAATTCCAACTAGCTATACAAGTATGGAGATGGATGGTAATACTTGTGAGAAAGAAGTTGATAATACAATCAATGTAGAAGAAAAATTAGAAGAGCCAAAATTGGGAATGGTGTTTAATACAGTTGACGACATAATGGAGTACTACATAGTGGGTGGAGAATCAGATTTTTCCCACCTATTTATATTCCTTATTTCTTTGGTCCATAATGCGCCACACAGCCCCCTATTTTCGGGTCTGTTTTAGCCATGAAATGATTAAATTTTGTCCTAATTTAAGTTTAAAAAATTTTTACTTTAACTTGCCTCAAATTATTTTCTAACCTTCAAAATGTTTATCAAAATCCTGTTTTTTGGGTCACCCAAGATTCGACCGCCTCGTAAAACATGAAAATTTTGACTATCTTAGAATTCGATGAAATCTGACGTAGTAACTAGATTTCGTGAGATGAATCCAACGGTGAGGTCCGTTTCGTCATTTAAGTTTTAGAAAACTTTAGGTTTACAACCCGTACTGTGGTGACAAATTATCATTTTGCCCTTTTTCATACAAGTTTAAATTTACCCGGGTTTTACAGTATGAGTCAATCAAGTTTGCATTGCAAATTTCTGTATATGAATGTTTGACCAATGAAGAATTTGAAGAGCTGTAGAATAAAATGATTGAGAAATATAATCTTGAAAGCAATGAGTGGTTGCTTGGATTATATGATGAGAGGCATCAATGGGTGCCAACATTTGTGAAAGATACTTTTTGAGCAGGAATGTCTATCACACAACGCAATGAGAGAATGCATGAATTTTTTTATGGATATGTCAATTACAAAACTACATTAAAACAATTTGTTGAACAATATGAAAATGCATTACGAAGCAAGGTAGAAAAAGAGAACCAAGAAGATTTCAACTCCTATAATTCATGGATTTCGTGTTTAACTCATTATGCGATGGAGAAGCAATTTCAAGATGCTTATACTAAAACAAAATTTAAAGAGTTTCAACATGAATTAGCAGGGAAAATATATTGTGAATTGTCTTCGGTTAAAATAATGATTCCTTTTCAGAGTATGAAATATCTTAAGATATAAAGGTTGGGGAGTCATCTCAGCGTGCATCTTTTAAAGTTTCTTTAATTCATGATGACTATGACATTAATCGCAATTGTCATTTGTTTGAATTTAGGGGCATTCTATGTAGACATGTAATCATAGTGCTAATTCATAAGAAAATTTTAGTGATTCTAGAAAAATACATCACTCGGCGATGGAGGAAAAATTTGAAGAGGTGTCACACAAAGATGAAGATTACTTATGATGATTGGAGTGTCAAACCTGAAGCATGCCGTTTTGACAAGATGTTTAATACATCTTATTAGGTTGTAGACTTGGCAACTGATTCTAAAGAAAATGCCAATTTAGTGATGCAAAGGCTAAAAGAATTGGAAATGGACCTAAAAAAAATATGATTGTGTTGGTAAGAGTAGTCAACCTACTACCAATATGAATGTTGGGGCAACTAATGCTTGTAGTGATGTTAATCCAACATCAAAAGAGAATGCAAATATACTTGCTCCGGTGGTAGTTTGTTGTAAAGGGCGACCACCATATAAAAGGAAGCAATTTAAGGTCGAGCAAGTAATTAGGAAAAAGGAGGAAAAGAAAAAACAAAGACAGAAGCAAAGACAAATACCAAAAATGCAAGTAATTATATGAAGGTGTGAAATATTTGAATTATGTGATTTTGAAATTAATTCTTTTTATTTTGTTCACATTGCTAATTTTATAATTTTTTTGTAGGATTCTAACATGGTCCAAGGCAACAAAATTGGTAACGATGATGATGCATTAAGTACGAAAGTTGTTGACATAGTTGAGAATCAACAAAGTATTGCATTAAAGGTACAAGATTGTATTTTCTAATTTGAGCAATTATATTGAACATTTTGCTTTGAGCTATTTATTTAGTTGTAGTGTATTATGTGTTATGAAGGCCAACCCACCCTCCTTGTGTGGGGGCAACTTTACTCCTTCAGCACATGAATATAGAGGTGGATATACAATGGACAACATGACACACTCTAGGTTTCACACCAAAATATGTTACAGGTATGTCATATTTGTTTTATTTAATAGAAAATGTGCATTGCATTTACCATGTGTTCTTTAAAATGATGCTCAACACTTTTCATATTGGAGAGGTATATATGGTATGGATCATGTTCCCTACTCTACAACAATATTTGGAATCAATGATACTACACGGTTGTCTAATATCATACAACAGCTAGTACAAGATTCATTTGTTAATTTCCATCTAATTCACATCCCCATGCACTTTAACTTTCTTTCAATTTTTTGTTATATATAGGGAAGCCTAAATTCAGGAAGGGATGGGGATGCTAGCAAGGGTGGTTCAGAGTGTCCAAGCCAATAAGTGAGTTTCCTTATATACCATTTTAAGTTTTATTAGTTTTCTTGATTTTTCAACAGCTTTTGGATCCATTTATATACAGTTTTAAGATCTATTAGTTTTGTTTGTATAGGCAAAAGTCAATGCGGAGGAAAATACAAAAATTCTTTGTGCAACTTCAAAGTCAAATGGAAGACAAAGAAAATAGATTTTTATTTGTTTTGTTTTGTTTTGTTTTGGAAATGGAGTTATGGTGTATGAGATTAATTTTTTGGGTTCGTTTATTTCTATTTTGGGAATATGTGAGTGTGTTTGGCCTCTTTTGGGTTTCTTGGTTCAGATTAAGGAGGTATTGAGCTATGGGCATTTCCAAATTTTTCATATTTTCAGATAAGCCAATTGTGTTGTTGATAGATTGGTTAACTATGTTGTACTATCTACGAGATCTATTGATTTTTCTTTTGGTTTGAATTTACCTATTGAGGTGAAGATGGCTATAGCAAAAGACTTGTGTTGTTTGCCTATGATAAGGAGGAGAAGGAAAATTGTTTTTGATGATTGTGGTTTGATGATGCACAAAATAATCTTATGCAAGATCAATAGTTGACTAATTGATGTAGGGAATTAATGAGACAATTAATAAAACAATCAAAGGAAAAAAAGTAAATATCAAGTCAATACACAGATATATAGTGGTTCAGTCCGAATGACCTACTCCACTCCGAGAAATGGTAACAGTAGCCAGAGAACCTTTTATTAATGAGGTAAGGTGAACAGAAGAGAGAGAGAGAGCAATGATTAGCTCCGGGAGAGGTACAATAGCTAGGAGAGAGAAAATTTATGTGAGGGATGTGTAGAGATGTGTCTCTCATGTAGAAAGAGCTTACATATAGGCATGAAGCCCTTAGGTAAGGAGGTGACGCGAGAGTAAATGTACTAGTTCTTCAGGGAGGATAACTACAAAATGTAAGTACAATTAAAAAATGCCTTAATCTTCAAGAGTGAGCATCCCGATGATTGCTCCCCACATGCTCTAATCTTTTTGGACTCCTTAGGCCTTAGACTGGGTTGACTTCATGAGCTGGGCCTGACTTATCGTGTTAACTGATTTGGGCTTACTTGATTTATTGGGCCTGATCCGGTTAGATTTGGGCTCATCATTTTCCCCCCATGCCTCAAGTCCTAGTGGTGCCAAGGAGATTAAGGGCATGAGTGACTTGTTCATTTTGAGTGGGCAAAAAGTTTCATGTTCTCCACCATGTTAGCTTCCTAAGCTTATTGCTTCTGTACTCTGGGAAGTTTTTCTCTTCTTCTGATAGCTCCATGGTTGTGCTTTATAAAATCCTCAAAGTCTAAGAGAACCAAAAGACAAAGAGATGGTGCCCAAAGAGCTAGCCCAGGGAAAAGAAACTTCGAAAAGAGCAAGGTCCATAGTGCAATCGGTGAGACTAAGGGAGGCCAAGAGGGTAGTGCCCACAGGGCTATTGACGACGCCTCTGGGTGTATGGGCAGCGCCTATGGCACTGAAGCTACTACTAATGTGGGCTGGAACAGGAGTGAGCCAAGCTATGGGGTAAGATTCAGACGACGCCAAAAGTGGAGGGGCCAATAGCCTAGGCAGGAAACTAAGTGGCAACGGCAGGATGGGCAGCTCCCTGGGCATGTTAGGCAATGCTAGAAGCAAGGTGGGTCAAGCAGGCGTCAAGGAAGGCGGAGGATGCTAGGACAATGATGGCACAGGCGCCGGAAAGGCTTGGGTAGGCAACGCCCAAGGTGCAGAGAGGCTCGCTAGAGACACCCAAGGTGCAGGAGGGGCTTGCTAGCGACGCCCAAGGAGCAAAGAGGTGATGACGCCCAAGGCGTAGAAGGCTTCAGGCGGTGCCCATGGAAGTGGACTAGGCACCACTGGCATAGGCGCTGCTGGTTGTGTGGAAATGGGCGACGCCTTGGCTACCGTGACCTCGGGCGACCTCGGTTTCTATTTGGGTGACAAAAATGTTGTTGTTGACATAGGCGACGCCTCTTGCACTGTTGCAGAGGGCCCAAGTGGCAAGCTGAGTGAAGCTAGAGAGGCCTAGGCATCGTCAGGCAATGGGAGCACGCGCTAGACGCCAACCGAACTATTGGAAAATCATAAAAAAAGGCAAAACTTTGTATTGCCATAACTTTGTCCTCGATTATCTGTTTTAGGGGAATTTTTTTTGTTAATCTAGGTATTTTTTCAAGATCTATGACATATAAACTGCCAAAGGTAGTTTGGGCACCAAATTTCTCGAAAGAATGCTTCTTTCTCTCTAAATTTGAGTTTTTAACCCCAAATTAGTGAAAAAAATAGATTTAGCATATGTCTACTTAATGTATTCCCGATTGTGTGAGGATTCAGCTAATCTTGCTTTGAAGATATCCTCAATGTGAAGATTTACTAGTTCTTTAGATTAACCTTGTCTCTTATTACAGGCGTTCCTGTTGATATAGTGATGGTGGACGGGGAAGTTCTCTATACTTTAGGACAACGTCTTCCCCTCTTTCCAAAGAGGGCAAGGTTTGATGCCCCCAGTGTTTTTTCACCGACATCCGATGGCTATATTACTTCCCGAGAGCAGGATCCGATGGTGCCCTCATTCCTACCTAGGATGTGACTCCTATGTGCATTAGAGCTAGCCCTTGTACTACTGTAGGAGTTAAGAGTCTAGTGCGGTCTTCTATANGATCCGATGGTGCCCTCATTCCTACCTAGGATGTGACTCCTATGTGCATTAGAGCTAGCCCTTGTACTACTGTAGGAGTTAAGAGTTTAGTGCGGTCTTCTATAGGGACTATAGTTCCACATAGTTGCTCTGATTCTAGTAGTGGCTCGATGTTCATGCTTCGATGTGACTTTGGCTAAGGAGCAGCTTTGGAGGTCTATGAGTCCCTGGGATATCTAGGAGGTTGGTTCTAGAGGTCCAGAGGGCATCATCGACACAACAATGAAGAGCTTTACTTTGGTATGCCCTTTACTCATCTTTAATCTTGTATCTAACTTCCTTCTTTCATGTTCTGGATTTTGGATACCTGTAGGTGGTTGTGGCTTTTTCATGCTTTTGACGATGCTCATGCTCAAACTCGACAAGGTGTCGAGAACTTTGGCGGAAGAAAAACCTAGGCACCAAGCTACAATTGTGGTTGGCTCATGAGAGAGAAATAACTCTTGAGGCCGAGCTTTTGGAGAATGAGGTTGCTTGCGTGTAAACACAGGCTGAGTTAGGCCGAGTTTTGGTAAACAAAGGCTACTTTAGGGCAGAGATAGGATTAGTCCAGGCTTGTGACAACTCGTGAGGGAGACACTAAGCTGGAGATTGAGGTTACTTAAGTGAGAGCAGAGGCAGAATAAGGCCAAAATTTTGGTGACTCATGAGAGAGACATTAAGTTGGAGATATAGGCTGCCTACCTGAGAGCAGAAGTAGAATTAGGCTGAGATTTTTGGTGACTCATGATAGAGATGCTAAACAGGAGATATAGGCTGCTTGCTTGAGGTCAGAATTAGGCCAAGCTTTTTGGCGACTCATGAGAAAGCACGAAGTTGGATACATAGGTTGTCTACGTGAGAGTAGAGGCAAAGTTAGGTTGAGCTTGTAGCGACTCGTGAGAGAGACCCTTAGCTGGAGATATAGGCTGCCTGCTTGAGAGCAAAGGTAGAATAATGCCAAGCTTTTGACGATTCTCATGAGAGTCACTAAGCTGGAGACATAGGTTGCCTACTTGAGAGCAGAAACAGAGTTAGGCCGAGCTTATGGGACTTGTAAGAGATACGCTAAGTTTGAGATATAGGTTGTCTATTTACGAGCAGAGGCAGAATAAGGCCAAGCTTTTGGCGGCTCTTGTGAGAGCTGCTAAGCTGGAGACATAAGCTGTCTGCATGAGAACAGAGACAGAGTTAGGCCGAGCTTGTGGCAACTAGTGAGAGAAACGCTGGAGACATAAGCTATCTACTTGAGAATAAAGGCACAATAAGACTAAGATTTTGGCAACTCTCGTGAGAATCGCTAAACTGGAGACATAGGTTGTCTGCATAAGAGCAGAGATAGAGTTAGGTCGAGGTTGTGGTGATTTGTGAGAGAGATGCTTAGCTGGAGATATAGGCTACCTGCTTGAGAGCAAAGGTAGAATAAGGTCAAGCTTTGGCGACACTTATGAAAGCCGCTAAGTTGGAAACATAGGCTGTTTGTGTGAGAATAGAGGCAAAGTTAGGCCGAGCTTATGGCGACTCCTGAAAGAAATGCTAAGCTAGAGATATAAGTTGTCTTCTTAAGAGCAGAGACAGAATTAGGCCAACCTTTTGGTGACTCTCATGAGAGCCACTAAGCTGGAGACATAGGTTGTCTACGTGAGAGTAGAGGTAGAGTTAAGCCAAGCTTGTGAAAACTCATGAGAGAAACGCTAAGCTGGAGATAGAGGTTGCCTGCTTGAGAGCAGAGGCAGAATTAGGTCGAGCTTTTTGGTGACTCGCAAGTGAACGAGAAGCTGGAGACTGATAAGGTGACTATCTACACAAGGGCCACCAAAGCTAAGGCCGAGCTACGTATATCTCGAGAAAGGGTTGCCGTGGCAGAAGCTTATTCCATTGAGATGGAGATAAGGAGGGAGGCTACTGAGAGAGAAATTGCAGATGCCTTTATTGATGGTTATGAAGGGCTTGAAATCTTTCCTTGCTATTGATTTCTGTGGCTTTGTCCCATATGAGGCACTAGGGGTAGAGGGTGACGGGGAGAGCCTTAACGATAATGGCTCAGGTGTAATGGGTGATCATCAGGAGTATGACGACATTTATCTTTCTGTCTACCTTGATGTTAGATCATGTTGTGACTATTGTAAGCTGTTTACAATCTTTATGAAATGAAAGCAAGACAACTTTGGACACAATAATCTTCGCAGAGTTTTATTTTGTAAAATAATAGATAACAAAGTAAATCAACTAAAACAATAAATGACGAATAAAATGAGATCCGCTAGCTTGTGCCCGCCATTGATAATGCCTTTTCAGGAGTTTGGCTCACCATAAATGGGCCAAGGCTTCCCTGCTTTCAATGTACTGTCATCCTTAAGGTTGAGCACTTCCACTCAGAGGGCCTCTTGGGGTTTCTTGGTCCTCATGGAGGCCACGTAGTATTCTCTAGTAGTGACTTGGTTTCCTTTCACTTCTCCAATCCCACAAAGGGTTGGGAAACGAAGAACGAGATGATAGGTGGACGACATTGTCCTTAGAGTGTTGAGTGTGGGGCGTCCAAGTATGATGTTGTAGATAGATGGACAGTCCAGTACAATGAACTTCACCATAATGATGGAGCTTCTTGGCGCTGTCTCTGCAGTGACTGGCAAGGTGATGTAACCCAAGAGATAAACCCTCTCCTCCGAGAATCCAACAAGGGGTGTCCTAATGTGTTACAATTTGTCTCTGCCAAGGTGGAGGCTATCATAGGCTGGTGTGAACAGGATATCAGTTGAACTGTCACTTTCGGCTAGAATCCTCTTAACCTGGCAGTGGCTACCATCATGGTTAAGACAAAGTGCTCATCGTGAGGGAGCTAAATTCCCTTGAGATCTCGATTCAAGAAGGTGATGATCTCTTCTTCCCCATGTCGGGGTGTCTTTCTTAGGCAAGAGTCATATGCCTCTGCTTGTCTAGCTTTCCTAATAGAGTTGGAGTCACCTCATCTTCCTAACCCTCTAGAGATTGTCAAAATTTCTCTAAGGGATTGTTAGTGTTCTCTATCATCCTAGTCCCGGCCAGGTGGCTAGTCTTGTTCTCTGCCAGCAACGTACTGCCTCAGTTGGCCACATCGTATAAGCTCCTCGATCTGCCTCTTAAACTGGAAGAAGTCGTCAGTGTCGTGATCGTGGTCGCGGTAGAAGCAACAGTACTTATTGAAATTTCTGCGGTTTCGGTCGGACTTCATTTTTCTAGGCCAGCGGAGCGTAGGGTCATCTTGTATTTGGAATAGGATATGCTCCACCGTGGCATTGAGTGGCGTGAAAAATTGTCATTCTCTCGGGGGTATGGGACCCCAACGGTCCTTAACAAAGACTCTCTCGGTTCTCTTTCTCCTATTCTCTACCTCCCGTTTGTCTTTGCAGATGTCCTTCCTTTTTTCCCGTCCTCAGGAGGACTCACCTCGACGAACCTTGGTGACGTCCTTAGCATTCATGTACTTCTGTGCCCTTAATAGCAGTTCAGGCATACTAGAGGGCAATTTCTTTAGGACAAAGAACATGAAATTTGAGGAGCGCAAACCCGCAATAAAGACAGCCATGGTTACCTTATCGTCTAGCTCCTCGATCTAGAGATCCTCCTTGTAAAAATGAGAGAGGTAGCTCCTAAGGCTTTCATCCCAGTCCTGCTTGATGGTGAGCATATGGGTCACCGACTTCTAGTGTCGGCGTCCCCCAATGGAGTGGGAGGCGAAAGACTTGTTTAACTCCACAAAAGAGTGGATGGAAGAAGGCTTGAGCTTGGTGAACCACTAGCGTGCGGATCCCTTGAGAGTGGTAGGGAAGATTCTACACATAATCTCATCAAGCACGTTATGGAATTATATGAAAGATTTGTATGTGTCGAAATGGTCGAGGGGATC